CTCTTCCTCAATTTCTCTCTCTCTCTCTCTCTCTCTCTCTCTCTCTCTCTCTCTCTCCCTCTCTCTTTCTCTTTCCCTCTCTTTCTCTCCACCCCCCTCTCTCTCCATCTCTGCTTACCTTCAGCACTGGTGGCGAGACAGCAGTGTTCCCTTGTTGATCTTTTTAATATTCTGTGGTTTTTAGACGTTTGTCTCAATTTTTTGGTCAAACTTTAAAACCACCGTGTGCACGGTTTCAGCCCCTCTCAGCACAGGTGTGAGGCGCCTTAGTGCAAACCGTGCGACGGTGTTGTGCATGTGAGCGTCATTTTGGGACATGAAAGAAGCGACAAGATGTGTGCTTGTTTATGAAACGATGTGGTACAAACACAGCGATTATGCTCAGTCAGATTGGACGCAATGAGCCAGCTAATTACAGTCTACACAAGTGGGGGAAAACGTGGTGGTTAAAAAAAAATGAAATAGTTTGTTTGGAAAAACCTGCTTGAACGTACTGTATCTGACGCTTTTTGACGAGTTTTTAACGGTTTTTTTTTCGTTGTTTTTTTTTTTTGGCTACAGGATTACTTGAAGCAAGTACTGCAAGTGGACCTGAAAGCTCATCTACATTTTGCCAGAGTCTTTATGAAGCCGGGGTAAGTCTGTAGAAATGTTGAAGATCTCCTTTTTGCTGGTGTTCCCCGAACTGAACAAGGCATTGCTGCGATTACTGAGTTCGGCTTGAAAGCCTTCCTGGGGCTATTAAGATTCCATACCTTTTTTTCCAGCGAGATTCCCCCCGGGAATGTCAGTCATCCTTGAAGTTCTACAGCTTATTTTACTTCCCCCGAGAGCAGAAGTGTGACCTCTGTACGATCATGTACGGATATAAATAGCAGCTTATACATAGATAAATAATGGGCCAAAGTCGTGAACGGGTGGAAAACGTACTTGACGAGGACGCGTTATGGGTGGAACAGTTGCCGTCGTTAGCTCTCGGTATTGTGTCTGACCTGTTTCCTCCGGCCTGGGACTTGGCCCGCTTCTCGGGTACCGCACGCACTTTCTGCGGCCTGCCCTCTTTTGTTTGTGTGCTTGGCGTCTTGTGGTTTGAAGGAATCTGGGTTGAATCGACATTTTAAAAGAATGTTTATCACTGAAAACGCCCTCATCTTTGTAACTGAAATCGAATTTCATTATTTTTTGGAAATACCTATGTCACTGAAAATGCCCTTATCCAACTTAGTTTGATATGAATGTCTATGTTGGAAGAAGAGGATATTATAACATACACATTATTGGGAATGATAATTAGAGCAAAAGATTTATTTAACCTTTTTTTTCTTTCCATTTGAGACAAAACATGTTTTTGATTCTTAATAAATTTTCCGTTCAAACGGCAATAGTTGAGTCTGTTGAAAGTTTAATAAAAGTTTTGTGGGGTAAGTGAGGTTTTGATGTCGATATCTCTGAGGAATACTGCACCAACGTATTGAAGGCGCCATTAGCTCAGTTGGTATCATAATGGGCAATGGTGCAGATTTTCTTGATTTGAGTCCCGATTGGGCTTATTGAATTTGTGTTCTTTGGAGAGTTTTCAAGGCTCTCAACCTACCTGGTGAGTGGTTGGAGGGCGTCTCTGGTAGGTCTTCTTTTTTTTTCCCGCTGTAGTTTATGGCTGTCTTTCTTTCCCTTTCCCTGCACTAAATGACCGTTATTGTGTTGATTTGCTTCTCAATGCTAAAAAACCCCTGCTAGGCCTGGTTCTATTGAAGATGCTTATTAAATTCATTCGGAGGTCTTGACTCATATATGTTACATTGTTGGAAAAAACTATGAACCCATACAATTACACCAGGTTTTACAAATGCGTTGTGAATTATTTTGTGCAGGAGGTGGGTAGCACAGTTTCATTGTGAAAAGAACGCACATGCTTTCTACTGTTGATAGCCTTACATAGTGGAGTTTATCTTGTTTACCATGATGGGTGTCGGGGAAAGATCAGAATAATGTTGCTTTTTGAGAGCATCCGAGCGGATGGGTTGTCGGCGCCACAGGTAAGTCCTACTTCTTTACGTAACTTTTCTGTTGTTTCTGTTCGTCTGTCATTTTTCTGAGCAGTAAATTTCCTACCAACTAAAAATGTTTAATGTGTCCTGCGCCCTCATATGAGCATATTATGCAGTTGCGGACGCCGTAAAACACTTACAAAAAAAAAGAAGAAAGCAAAAAGAAAACAAATAGATCTAATACAAGGTAATAAACGACCCTCCCCCTTCCAGTCCATTGGCTTCTATAAAAAACCAAAACAAACATACAAAAAACCCCCCCATCGTCTGTTGGCTTCCCTCAAAAGAAAAACACTCCCCCCCCCTCCCCAAATCGCCTGTTAATGATGCAGCGCTGTCTGTTAGCGTTAAAGACTCTTCCACATTTTCTGCGCCAGGCAGTGAGCTGAAGTGGCGGGACGCTTACTTGACTAAGTTGTCGACGGTATTGGGGATGTTTGGAGGCGCGTGTGGTAGGTCCTGTTCTTCAGATACTCCCGTGTGTTCTGTCTGTCTGTTTGTCTGTCTGTCTGTCTGTCTGTCTGTCTGTCTGTCTGTCTGTCTGTCTGTCTGTCTGCCTGCCTGTCTGTCTATATATCTGTCTGTCTGGCTGGCTGGCTGGCTTTCTGGCTGACTTGCTGGCTGGCTAGTTGTGTCTGTCTGTCTGTCTGCCTGTCTATCTGTCTGTCTGCCTGCCTGCCTGCCTGTCTGCCTGCCTGTCTGTCTGTCTGTCTGTCTTTCTGTAAGTTTCAACTGTCGCTCTATTGTGGGTTTTCTGCCCTTTTAACAAACAGTGACGTCTCGTTCGATTCTGTCCACGGGTTTTACAATATGTAGTAGTCTAGGTTGTCTGTGGAATTGCTTCCAAAAACGTTGGCGTTTGGATCATTGGAGGGTTCCTGGATTGAACGTCACGTTTAGAAACAATAGTATAAGCTATATGTAGTGTATGAGGAACAGGTGACTAGAGTACGCCACGGGAAATCTAACTAATAAAATCAAAGAAAAAAGAAAATGTATGCCCTCCGATATACTAGGTCCCACCCGAAAGTACCAGCCGTTTCGACATATTTACCACACATTAGGCACTCAAAATTTCCTAGCCTTATGTATATGTATTTAGGATGCTTTGCCTGAGTCGTTAAAAAATTACTTCTACGATTCTTGTACGGCGCTCGAATCGATATGAAAGCAAAAGTACGCCAATTAAGAGGTAGTTAACGATTTGTTGCAAAACGTGTTCGGTTCAAGTAGCATGTACTGTTCGGAAATGGGGCAGGAGATGCGAGTTCGTTTCGAGCGTGCGGGTGGTTGGAGGGCGTCACTGGCGTGCCATATATTTTTTCTTTCCTTTGTTTGTTTATGTCTGTCTTGCTGTTTCCTAGCACTACATGACCATTATTGTATCAATGCGCTTCTCTTTACAAACCAACCGACCAACCGACCAATCGACCAACCAACCAATCAACCAACCACCCACCCACCCACCCACCAACCAACCAACCAACCAACCAACCAACCAACCAACCAACCAACCAACCAACCAACAAACAAGTAAGCAACACACAACAAACAAACAGACGTTTTTCTGTTGTCTGCTTTATTTCCACTTTCTGCCCCCACCCCCTCACTTCCTTTGCCCCCTCCTCTGGGCTCCTGACTCTTTCTGCAGCCTTTCTACTGCTACTCCTTGGCTCCTCCTTACTGCTGTCTTTCTGCCACACCCCTGATCTTCTGGTAGGAAAGATCTACACCTAGCCTTCTCGGACAAGGGCGAAAAATCTCGGAGGGCCCGTGTGCAAGTTGCGAACGTTAAAGATCCCTTGGTGGTCTAAAATCGATAAGAGTAGGCTTCGGCCACCACCCGGGCAAAATTCAAAATTTCCTACCAACTGAAAATATTAGGTGTGTCCCGCGCGCTCATATGACCTTATTCAGTTGCGAGCGCCGTAAAACACTATACAACCCCCCCCCAAAAAAAACAAAAAAAAACAAAACAACAACAACCCCCCAACAACAACAAAACAACAACAAAACAACAACAAACAAACAAAAAAACAAAAAAACCCAGACGTTTTGCGCGGGAGTTCTTTTATTTTCCTTCTGCCTTCTGAATCCTGACTGTCCAGTGCTGTGTGCAGGCCTTGGTGGGTAGGATGGGGTCAGCTCTTATCTTCCCTCACGTCATTTTCACTATAACTCATGCGTGAACACTGGTCAGTTTAAACATTGCGTGACCACTGTCACACTGACCATTGCGTGAACACTGTCACACTAACCGTTGCTTGACCACTGTCACACTGACCATTGCGTAGACACTGTCACACAAACCGTTGCTTGACCACTGTCACACTGACCATTGCGTGAACACTGTCACACTAACCGTTGCTTGACCACTGTCACACTGACCATTGCGTGAACACTGTCACTGAGGGAACATAGAGCTGAGGAAAAATAGACATGCTCCTGGCAGATCACTTACTAAGTGTTCTAAATTGTCTCTATGTGGCGTTAGACGCTTGCAAACATAAACTACGCACCTTCCCTTCACTTACACTTGTGTATGGCGTAGTGGCTGGTTGGTGGATGGTCCTGGTGTGGTCTGCTCCTTCTGCGCCTGTTCAGTGTGTGACTTCTATTGTGATCTGTTCCTGGCTGAGATTGGATATTCTTTTTTTGCTGTCTTTTTGGAAACCATAACTCGATGAGCGGGTGGTTGGGGGGCGCCACTTGTAGGCCCTACTTCTTTTCATTTTAGCTGTTGGTTTTGCTTGTCTGTCGTACCTTTTTCTCAACACTATTGCGGTGTTCACACACATAAGAGTAGAGTCGACGAGCAATTCTTGATCTGATAATGCCAAATTTGGGTTTGATCGTGACGAGTATCTGGCCATGACTGTTGACATTATTGTGTCGGCGAGCACTCGAGGAGACGCTTGCCGAGCTATAATTTAGGACGGCGAGCATCTCACCGAGCGCCTCACAGAGCGTCTTGCCGAGCAATTAGTTTGTATCCTGGCCACTTGCAGAGCCAAGAAACGTAGCGGTCGAGTATAATTTCACACGCCGACAAACTCGGCGACCATTCTGACTATCTTGCCGACCCGTCGCCGAGTTAGTCGGCGTGCAATGTTATAATATATAAAGAGGTGGGCAAAATGTTTGTGCTCATTCCTTCAACATGTCTCCTGTGACACAGACGATGGGTGCGTACTTCATGTATACATATGGTGCCCTTGCTGTTGTGCTGGTGCAAGAAGAGGAGAAGAGGAGGAGGAGGAGGAGGAGGACCTATTGGGTTAGAACTTGGCTCATAAACAGACCCCTGTGTTGACAGTTTGAGAAGCTGATGGCTGAACTGCAAGTTGAAGATGTGGCATCCTTCGGGAACTTCTTCAGAGTTTCACCAGAGTTTTTTTCCAAGAGCTACTGGAGAAAATTGGCCACACCATCCGTAAGGCAAACACGTTCTGGAGGCATTCACTGGAACCTGGCATTAAGTTGGCTATCACACTTGATCGATACCTAACAACAGAAAGAGTTACAGATCTCTACAGTATGGCTTCAGGGTGGTCTGCAAAACTATCTGTAATTTCACCCCGAAGTCT